CCCAGCCGAGGCTGGCACTGTGCTGCCCACGGGCGAGTACAGCATTGGGGGGAGAAGAGCCCCACGCCACGGCTGTGTGTCCCAGTCAGGGAGGGAAGGGAGCATTTTTATTTTTCTTCCAACCTCCGAGTTTGGAAATGGAGTTAATACAACGTTTCCTGACTTACCCAGGGGTCAAAGCAATAGAAAAATTCAAGGCTCCTTTTCCAAAGCTCCCAGACCTCTGTTTTCACTTTAGGATACTTGGTGAGGGCTGTAAGTAATTTTTTCTTTAATGTTTCCCCCAATGCTCATTATTGAAATAAATCAACGAGCGGATGTGGCTGCAAAGCCAGGGAGTGCTCTTGGGTCCCATGTTCAAAAAATTCGGCGCTCATCGGGGGCAGGCGCAGCCGGCTGATGTTCCCAGGGAATCGCCGCCTCCTCTACGTAAATTCAGGGCTGATTTCTACGTAACCAAACCAGGCCACCTCCCCAACCGCTCGGGCGAGTGCATAAACAAAAATGAAAGCACCGGCGCGCATCTCCAGCGGCTGCCCTGATGCAAAATGGAAACGCTCTGAGTTTTCTTGTCTGTCTTTGGGCAGGCAAACGTTCCCGAGCCACCTCGAGAAGGGCCACAAATATCCATTCGAAAAGCGATTTCATCTCATCAACCTGTCTCCGCAGCTGATCACCGGGAAATGCTCTTTGCAGCTCTGTGTGCATGGCAGGCCATCGCCTCTCATTAATATTTAGTATTTGTTTCAAGGAAATTGATTATTTTTGTCTGCCATCCAGGGAAGGTGCCTTTTGAACATGCTACATTTTAATTTGCTCGAGCCTAGCTCTGAAATAGAGACTTTGTTCTGTTTCGCCTGACTCCATTTCTATATCTGTCTCGCCCCAGAGATGGGGAACGAAACCAGATAGCCCAAAGGCTCAGGTCTAAGGGACATTTTGCATCTCGATGCTAATCGGCCGGTCTATGTCCTCACATCGCCCCATCGCCATAGTATCCGTGTGGCCACTGGTGAATTTAGCTTTGCGGCATGCCTGGGAGGCTGGGATGGGTTAGCAGCTCCTTGGAACCCAAGGGAAACTGAGGCACGGGAGGCTTGAGGGGAGCGGCTGCTTCCCAGCTCTCCGGGGAGCAGGGTGGCAGGGCTGTGCCCACGTCCTAGGAAATCCCAGACCCATCACCCATGCGGGGAGATGCTCTGCCCGCTTCTGGGGATGCTCTTGCCCTGGCCAAACTGTTGGCATAAAAATATTCAGTGCCCAAGACTAGGCTGGAGAAAAGATGACAGTGAACAGGATACGCTGCCGTCGCCGTACCTGTCTTGCAGTATTTGCCAGCATGAAGGATTTTGCCCCATCACGCAGGTTCTAGGAAGCAACCCGCTGAGAGACCTAAACCTCAGATATTCCATGAAAAGCCCAGAGGAAGAATGATCAGCCCCGGTCCCAAGAGGATGCGCGAGAGTAGGGTGAGCCCTGCATGCACGGACAATTCAGCCCAAGCCAAAAAAACCCCCAAAAACCCTTTTGACAAAATCAACCTTGGCAAAATTTCAAATTTAATTTTTAAAACTTTCTCCTTCAGTCTGACCTCTCCTAGGCCAGCCATGGGGGTGCATCCTCCTGCAGGTGCTGGGGCAGGAGAAACCCCAACTCTGGACTTAGGTGGCTCCATGTGAGCATCTCCCATAGCAGGAGACATGCCCTGGCTAGCTTGTAACCCGGTGAAAGGGCAGGAAACCTGACATCACCCTTATTTCACCTACGGGGACCAGGGGCACCGATCTGTTCCCCTGTACGAAAAATCTGTTTTTCCTTTCTGATTCCCTGGAATCCCTCGTTAAAAGCGTAACGACACTGTCTGCTCTCTGCCACTGCTTAGATGCTGGAAAACAACCCTGCTTGCAGCTACTACGCTTATCTAAAAGACAGGGAGGAAAAAGATCCACCTGCGCACCCAAAGTCTGACTGCGGCGCTCCCAGGAGCGAGCAGGGAAGCAGAGCCAACGCAGAGCAGCAACAGCAGAGCAGGCTGCAATGCAAACGCACATCCACCGCCCGCCTGCGAGCGCCGGGGCTGGCTGACCTTTGCCGAATGCCAGCGGAGCCAGCCTCTCCCGCTGTCCCGAGTGACTGCGGAGGAAATGAGTGTGGCCTGACCTTATCCGTCCTAACGAACCGCGCTCCAACACCTCTGCAGTCGGCAGTGCTTAGCGTGTGCCGGCACGGCAGTGCTGACGGTGCTGGCTGAACGCTGCGGCCAGGCTGAAAGCTCCAGCCTGGGCTCCTGCGGCTGCTCAAGGCAAATGTCTGAGTGCTCGTGCTGCTTCTAGGTGAGAAAAACTCTGCTTTTCTGGGAGATTGCAAAGCTCAGGAGAAACCGGAGGGGAAACCGC